ATTTACTTTCCTGACATTAGATTATTTTCTGGCTTTTCTGCAATACATGGTTATTTTTTGTTCGATTTTGGCTCGGGCCAGAGGGCCAACTCTCTCCCACGAACATGCACTTCAATGCCACACAAACAAAACGGCAAATGTGACTAAGGATAATTGAAGTACATGTTCCACACACCAGCTACAGCATGTCCCTGCAGTCAGATGTCCAGGATGTTCTCAGCTAGATGGAAATGTAGCTAAAAGGAGGTGAACTGGCAGAAAAACAGCCAAGTGAAACCAAAAGTGAGGTGCAATAGGGGACAAGAATATTTGCTGAGATGTCTCTGAAATAAAACAATCTCTCAGTCTCTTTCCTTGCTGAGATCTCAGATTAAGTTGGGGCCATAACTGAACAGAGGGGCTATCTTGAAAAAACTGTTGTAGTAGGAAACAGAGTTTTAGGTACTAGGTATTTCAGTTACCTCATCATCATCATCATCATCATCATCATCATCATCATTATGTGTCCTGTTACAGTTTGGTAGCCTTTAGCCTATGCTCAGCTGTCTCTCCAAAATAGGTGAATTTGGTCAGACTCATGCATCCATTAAAGAGTCTGTCATAGCTGATCTAGGTGAGGGTCTTGCACTAGTTTTAGGCCACTGGATATAAGTCCTATCAGAGTTCTGTTAAAAAGATATAATACAACCAATAACAATGAAGCTCTCTAAAAGACATCAATTCACTCTCTTGCATGATTTATACCCTTTAAGCTCCACCTTCAACAGAGTAGTCTTCCCCTGGGGCTTAATACAGGGTAGTAATACCAACGGTTTAATAAATATAATGATGGTACATTTTTGCTTACCTTTAGGTAATATTTGCCGTCAATGTTATTCTTACCCATAAGAAAAGATCTTCATATATACGACTGTTTACAATATTATAGCCTACATTTACAGGTATCCGTTGACCTCCATTCTCATTTGAGATCAGCACCACCAGATGCAAGTCAATTTGGGTGCATTTGGATAGTCATAGAGGAGAGGCAAGGCATTAAGTACAGTACTGTAATACAGGCACAGTACTCTACAGCAAATAATAAAATAAATATAAAATCCCAGCACTTTATAATAAAAAGTGATTGCCGTAAAATATTTCACTGTGAAATTACAGCGAAATATTTTATTGTACAGCACGATTTGTCCTGGGTACGACATCAAACTGCATCCGGCCCTGCAAGCAGTCCTCCAACTTTCAGGGATAAATATTGGGGGTTGGTGGCAAGATTGGCACCATGGACCAAGGAGTTTCGCCATGTGGTGGGTGTGGCAACACAGTGCATCAGCGCATGCTCCCCAACCTGACCTGACAGTACAGTACGTTTATTTTTATGCACCGAAATAGCACAATACAGGTACAGTATCTGTATCATATCTGCTTATTGTAGCTGTCAGTCACATACACATTACTGTAAGCATACTATATTACAAGTTAGATATGGACAGTGTGTCATTACACGGCTGGCAGCGCTGCCAATTCTCCTGCACCTGTTACACTGAGTGATACACCCACTTTGAGGTGTTTCTTACTCGGTGTGTATTATTTAATATGGACCTCGGATGTTACTCGATTCAACATAAGTTCACTGGTACCTCAATTTATGGTTGCTATAGAATGATGCGCATAGCTAATAATCGGCAGATTTTAACCACGACAAGAACACGGACTCCGTTCGTATCAATGGAGCGCAGGTGAAAAACTGGGTTGCCAACCCTCACACATCTCACGTGACACTCCAGCATTAGACTCTAAAGCTCACGCAAGAAATCTTACAGGAAATCTATATTATTCCATTATAAGCCTAAAATTAGCTACATCAAAAGTGTTTGGGCAGTGTGCAAACCCTATAGCCTATTTATAAGGTAATAAAAGTGTTACATACATGTAAATGTGTGTACATGTGTGCAGACTTGTGTCGAGTTGAAAATCACATGCCAGCCAGCTGACCAAAGTCGGCAACCCTGGAACAGTTATTTTGTGGCTGTGGGGTTGCGCACACCTCAGTAGTACCTGGTGAGTTTCCACTGTGTGATTGAATTGTAGAGTGTGTTACCAATAAGGTTTAATTTATTATGTCATACCATACTCTGTTGCTAGTGCCATTTTCCTAATGAACTATATTAAATAAATACTATACCAAGGATACGTAAAAACCAGGTGAAACTACGTGATTATGGTTGTGTTGGTATTTCATGGTTTATACGGTAAGATGAATGTATAATTGATTGAATCTGAATTGGTGTGTACAGTATGCGCACTAGGTAACTAAAACAGGCAACAACTGAACGACTAAGCAAAAAAGTAAGTAAAATTTAAATTATAATAATTATGGGAAATTTTCTAATGTCAATGCAACATTCATCAATACAAATTACTCAGCATGTGAAACTGAAAAGTTTTTCTTAAATGAAATACCTGTTCCTTGAAGAGTACTGTTGAAGCACTTTTAAATAGGTGCAAAATGTCATACGAAAACAGATTATCAAAATATGCCTTGGACAAAAGCATGAGACACACAAGTGTAAACGTTATGCATGGTGGCTGTATTATTCTTTGTTTATGAGAAATCAATCAGTTGCACTACCGTTTTACATATATACTCTATATATTTCTTTTATAAGCAATGTAACACATGTGCACACGCCATTGTTCAGCTCCCCACCAACAGGAAAATATGAAAAACTTTGTGCACCTGTAAGGGCGACTGTTCATTATAACGCATGCAAATATTACAGTGGCAGTTGGTGTGATGGAACCAGACTGGGGCAGAGTGTCTGGGGCAGTGTGGATTAAGTGATATCCGTGGGATATGGTGTGTCAGAATATAAGCACAGGCCAGCCTCAAAATACCGACCCTGTGTGACTCAGTGCTTATCTGAGGGTGATGGAAAGAATGTAGCAGCTTTTTTTATTTACCCACCTTGCCCAGTATGTGCTCACTGAGGAATTACACAACCAACTTTTGAGGACAATGGAAATAGTAATGAATGCTTCTCTTTTGCTATGCTGAAATGCTTGGCCTTTTTTCAGTAAAAATGTTCCTGAACAGCCACTCCCCCCTTGCTTTGATTATGGAGCTACATGGACACATCCTGTTACTCAGGGAGGTTCTCTTAACAGGAGTTTTATAGTCAGGTAGGATGTCTTATTCAACTCCATTGTTACAGTACATCTCAGCAAAACTAATTGTCTTGTTGCTTCCAAATTATTGTTTTATACAAAGTGTATGCTTGCAACCTAGAGAACCCTTAGTTATTGAACTTTGATTTAAACTGAATGTTTCTTGCAGATAATTTCTTTTCATGCTTTTGTATAGAAAACTCCAGGTAAGGTGCCTCTAATTTGGGTTTTATACAAACCACTTGTTTTTTCTGATGAGGTTGCTGTCTGCATTTGGTGGAAAAAATACCTGGATAAGGCTTGGTTTAGGATTGGTTTAGGATTGGTCAGGCAGAAAGAAACCTTCTGGGAGTTAGGTGCCCCCCCCCCCCCCCCCACACACACACACACACACACCTTGCCTGAATTGTATGGAATGGAGGGTCTGTCAGTGAAGTTATCCGTATTCCTGTCACCTCATATCCTCCTGTGTCTCACTTCAGTTTTCTAATGAACAGGACACCTGTAGTTCGGGACTGTAGTCACTTTGGTTGCTTTGTATTAAAGTCTCGGCTAAATAAATAAAAAAAAACTACTTGTAAACAGAAAAAATTGCATCGACTGCTGTGTGCGACGGGAAGAAGTGGAGGAAAAACACGGCCTTCTTTCTTCTGTAAGCCAAGAACTTCTCTCCAGTTAAGAAGTACACCACAGAGATTAAAAGCATTCGCGAAAAGAGAACTTCTAAGTGCTTCGGACAGTTGGAGAGTTTTTCCTTCCCAAGAAATGCATGGCACATCATGGCCAATAGGAGTGCTGCACGTGGTAGGCCTATTTATCTGCTGATATCAAACGTTCCACCCAAATGCATTCACACTGGCAAATCTATCCAGTGAGCTACTGGCAGTGCGTGCCAAATTGACTTTTACAGCTTTATATGTCTTTCAAACGTCTGCTCCCTCCTGTCTGCCCCCTCCAACTGACATGCACCCCTCCACCTTCCCCTTTTGCTGAACATATAAAATTAATTATCTCTCAGAAAGTGCCTTTGAAACATGCCCAAACACTCTTATTAAATTTATCTGGTATTTTTTATTTTTTTTTCCAGAAAGGAAATGTATAGCTTTCAAAAGCAGTCATGGTGAGTTTGCCAGAGGCCTTTTGTCATGGAGCGTGGACTGTTTTAAAACGCCTTTATTTAATTAGCAATAAAAATATGAACAGAAGCACTGTCTACTGGAAGGAGCACTTATGACCTGCAGATTGGTTAGCTGGCATACTGAGGCTTGTAATTTAATTTTTCTCACTGTACTCTGTCTGACACCCTGCCCTGTGCCAATCTCAAAATGAAATAACTCCGCAGATACATTACAAATAAATTTCTGCATTATAAACAGCATAAAGTGAATAAATGTCACTGTCCTTGGCATTGAACAATTAAACTTGTATCTTAGACCTTTTGTGCAAGTCAGTGGAGGCCTTAACTGGAGTTTGGTTCTCTTGTCATTCATAAATGAGTTCATTTCTGTGGTGGAGAGATAAAAGACAAGTTCCCAAATAAGAATTAGTAAACTGGACCATTTAAATGGTGGATAGAACCCTTTATCAGAACCTATAGGTTTAATCACGTGTTCTTATCTGTAGCATTAAAAAAACGATTTACTGGGGTTAAAGGAGACAGCAAATAGAAACAACTCGTGATATATTTTAGCAAAATGACACATAAACCTATTGTAAGGCTCCTTTTTGCTCGTAGTATACAATACTTTACATAACGACATGCAACCTCCGCTGCATTGTACGCCTTAAATCTCTCCAGCGCTAGGTGGCGATAAGTCACCGCGCAGTCGCACGTTTCCCGCATCGCAGAAGCCAGCAGAGCCTCGTACCGGGCGCCTTACAGCCACTTGGTTTGGACCAAGCACGTCTAACCGAACATCTCTGCACCGGCCTCCTCGCGGCAGATGTTGAAGCGTCACAAAGCAGAATGAAGAATAAAGTGGATGGAAAGGATGTAGTTTTAATCACCACCTTATACGTTGTCTGAAATATAATATGGCAACGGCTGGGTGAATTTAAGTTTGATTTTTATTTTTTATTTATTTTTTCACATATTCGAAGTACTAGCGGGTATCCGCAGAATAAGGGAACTTTGCGCAAGGCGTCTTCAACTGTCACCTGTGCGCGCGGAGTTCCTCTGAGCTGAAATAAAACGTAATAAGACGTTTCATGGTCGCAAAATTGAAACTAAAGCAAAAAATCTTTGAGCAATGTGTGCATAGTGGGAGACTTTTTTCATTCAAAGGAAATATTTCAGAAACAGTGATCTTGCTTTTTCTTTGATTATGGAGAACAAATGAAACGGATATTTCCATTGGATTAAACCGCTGAAAGCACACCATCAGGTACGGTTTACCAGATATCTTGCAATTTTGACATTATGACAAAAGTACTGTTTTTGGTGTCATTAACGTGAATTCCGATTCATATGCAGAGACATACAGAAGTTATATGTATAGAGCAAGTTTGGTTAATTGTTTGTAATTGTGGACAGGATTGATTTTAATTGTCAAGTAATTCAACGGAAAAGTACAGTAGCTTTTAAAATCTGTTGCGCTGTGCATTCCAGAAAGATTTTGTAAATTAACCTCAAGTCATAAACACATCAACATTAATCTATGAGTTACAGTTACACTAACCCCGTTAAGGTCTTGTAAGCTTCGTGTGCCAGCGTTTCGTGTACACTTTAAGTAATTATTATGATCAGTGCCGTAGTTCCCTCTTTGAGAGAAATGTACAGTAGCCTACATTATGGATAAATGTAGGATGATCAATTTCGTCTTTTTAACCCACCTGAACAAAATAAATTAAGACACGAACGCAAAAAGCACAAGTCGCCGATGGAAATACTTGCAAGGGCATTTCATAGCGGAAAACGACAAAAGACAGAAACTGATATTTAGCATTTCCATAATACTTTTCGAGCCGTGCTAGTCTTTTCTAATGCGTTTTTGTAACTGGTGCAGGTACGGCTTTTGTGGTAAATCTCCTAATTTCTAAATTGTACGAGTAAGAGCGGTATACTTCACCAAATTTTCCATATTTACCCCTTTTCCTCGATATGTTTATGCCCAGCCACTGGTTTTAATGCTTGTTATTGTTTTAACTATAACAGATCCACCTGCCTTAATGTAACGTTGCGTTAGCATTTTTCCGAGGATCCGAAAAATGAGTAACTGTTCTCAACTCATTCGGGAAGTGATAGGACTCTTGTCTCCCAGTACAATCAAGGAAATTTAACAAAAAAAGAATTATATAATAACCTAAGTATATCAATACACAACGGAGTATTTAACGCTGATGTAAACATTTAATTTCCAGAAATTTAGATATTTTTTGTTTTTTTTCCATGTCCATACAATTGTTATAATCGGTATTGCGACCACGGACAGAAACCCCCCCCGCGCCTCCCTTCGCAACAAAGTGCTTGTTTGTCTGATGCAGCGCGACCCCGACCGCGTGACTGTCTAAAATATGTTGGAAAACAGTTCGAACAGCAACCGAAATGACCGCCCAGTTCAGACGATGAGGAGGTGTGTACCAGCGCAGTCCGCCCACCGCCCATTGACAGTAACGCCCCTGCTACAGTCACTTCGTCCTACATGGGGTGCAAACATCGTGCTATGCACGCACAATTATCTGAAACACGAGACGTTTTTAGCGTCACACTGTTTTGTTCTATCCCCTTACACTACTGAATAAATCATATCGACAGAGAGGTACTATGTGTCAGTGTGCGGTTATTCTGTGCTGGCTAATAACTATTGATTTAAGACGTTTCTAACACCTGCCACTGCATGGCTTAATTATCTCAAGGATTTCTTCTACTATTGAAGAAATTAAATTATAATCTTTGAGGAGGAGAAATTATGAAAACGAGTGAAACGTTAGCATGTGGCAGGTAATAAGCTAGTTTGTGTTGGTGGTAAGCTTGACTACACTGATGTGCATAATTTCTCCTCCTCAAAGATTATAATTTAATTTCTCCATGGCAAATTACTTCAAGCACTCTGACAGAGTCAGTCCCCTGTGTAATGAGCAGCTTGGAGGAACCATAGGTCTGTGAGCAGTAATTTTGTTTGGGAGCAGGAATAATAGGCTCAGTTTTGAGAGAACCCCTGCTGGCTTATCTTGACAGCTGGATTCTCTGGATGATTTTTCCCTCCTCGCCCCCACACCCCCCAGGATTTCTGTCCCTGGGTCCCCCTACTGTGAGATGCATGGTTCCCGAATTTGGGTCTGTGGTGGCTCCTGTGGCCCAAATCACGCTGCGAAATGGTTCCACTCTGATTAATCAGAATCCCCGGTGACTGGGCTGTGGGCAGTAGATTTCCCCTCTCGCAACCCGGACAAGAGACCTATTGTGTTATTATATGGATGGTGACCATTGCCCTTAATGTCTTCTATCTTTTGGTCTCCGGCAGGTTTTTTCAGCCCTGTCATTTGTGAGACTCTTGTAACGCTCTGCAAAGGCCGTTGGGGGGGGGGTTATTTCCGGCTGGTATATTCCCTCCCTTGGCACACATGCTGGCCAATATATGGAACAGCATGGGGGTAGATTGGGTTTTTTCTATGGAAAATCACAATGAAGTGTAAAGCCCCCGCCAGCCGAGAGCTGTACTATCAGCTCGTGCTAGCAGCTTGGTAATCCTGCTGCAACTTGCGAAACAGTTCAGGTACCTCTGTACATTTACAGTCACAGACAGTGCCGCTGCGTAGCCTTGTGGTGCACCGTTAATCCTACCTCCAAACTGCAAAGCACTGCAAGTTCTGTGGAACCAAATATTCACGCTATCAGATAGTCGTAGCGCAGAGTTAATCCTGCAACAGGCAGTGCAACGTTGCAAGGTCAACCTGGGAACTTATGGGAATTTATGGAAGTCTTGCCGATGGACTGTCCTTTGAGAAAATTTTGTTCACACACCAAATTTTATAATGTCTAATAGATTTTCTTTTTTAAGCAAACCCACAAAAAGTTATTTACACGCTGAGAGCCAACATGATGGACGATAAACATCCATTGTACCATATGTACTGAAAAATTAAAGAAATCCATCGTCTCATCTTTTATTGTTTTATTGTTCAGTCTTCTGGCTGGATCCAAATTTAATAGATTGTCATTTATTTATTTTTCACTTTTTCTTGATAAAAAAGATAATGAAATATTTCGGTTCTCAATCAGTGTGTCATGCAGGGTAGGTAAAAGACAAATCAGTTTGTTTATTTTATTTACAGCTTATTCACCTGGGGTGAATTTTTGATTGAGCAGCGGATTGATTTACATATCAGTTTTTATTTATTCTTTATTACCTCAGGTAGGTGGTGTAATCAGCGTGGGGAAAGTAAGAGGTTTATTGGAGGTGCTAGATCAATCAGAGCATGGAGCTTTCGTGGAGCAAACATGCTTTCTCACAATTGCTCTCAGAATGCAAAATGCAGCATTTAAACAATGCAGCGACAAGAGGTGTTTTGCTAGTAAAATGAGTCATTTGACTATACTGCTGATGGGGGTGGGGGGAGGGGGGCATTGAGGGGGTCAGGCTGCCAAGGGGGTCTTTACAGTTCATACTAAAATAAGGTCCTACAAGGGGAAATGGCCAAGGTGGTGCAGAGCTTTAGACAGTGGCTTTAATGATTCACACCCTGTAAATAAAATTGCTGTGAGTCTTGATAAATCCAATCTAATATGGATATAATTGCATGAATGTTAAGGATTGATATGATTAAGCATTAAAAAAAGATCATCATTATTTCCCTGTCTGGACTCCTTTGAATCTATTAGCTCTGTATCAATGTCCAGGATGTGCTGTAATTACATTTGTTTGTTTCTTAAATCAAGATTTAATACTACACCGTCCCTATTCTCCTGTAGCAGCTGGCTTTGCACTGGGATATTTAGGATGTTTGTGGAGATATCATTAATTAGAGTTACTTGACAGTCCAGAATTAATGTTTGGCATGTTTTATAGAAACTTGTTTTTGACATGTCTAGTTTCATTTCTAAAAACTTGGAAACCCGAAAATCAAAAGTGAATATTATCCAGTACGAGGGTGATTTTAATTTTCTTTTAGATTTACAGAATTAGCTGGTATCAGTAATATAAATATCAGGTGAACATCTGGCATATGCAGCACGTGATTAACGTAAATCATGAAGTGTAATTGCTATTTTGTAACATTATATATAATATTCTTTACAAAATACATGTTTTTCCTGTGAATGATGTTACAAATAGAAGATCCTTGACATTAGGAACTTTGGCAGTTTTGTGATAAGCTTTGAGAAGTTGATTGCAAAAACATATTTATGCATATACTAAATGTTTACTGCTTGGAAATTCAATAATTCAATAATGTGATAATTCAATAATTATCATACTGTAAAGCCTGTTACACTCCCTATCCCTGTCTCCATCTCTCTCTCACACACACGCGCACACACGCATAAAGTGGTACAAATGCTAACAGCATTTAGCAACAGTGATATTTGGTAAATATTAGCAAGTTGTGTTCTCTGTAGTTGACATCTGCAAACAGACCCTGCTGCTGACAAGAGATGGGACTGACATCTAACTCAACAGTTTGGATAGACTAGAGCTGCTGCCATGGTGATTACATGCTTTGAAGCCAAAATAAATGAAAATTCAATCATAATTGCTCCGCAGTCAGGCTCTCATACACTCGGTACGGTACAACGTTCAGTGCAGTTAATCTTGAATCATACATTTCAAAGACTAATGACCTGAAGTCCCACCATCAGCCATGAAGGATCCCTCGTAGAGGATTTTGTGGTCTGATATGCACCAGTAAATAGGTAGAAATCTGGAAAACGATGAAGTAATAAAGCAGTAACTACTGTATGTTGCCTAAATGAGGGTAACACAATTTAAATGGTTCCTCCAGACTCAGTTAGAAGACTTCCACTCTCTTATCTCTGGATCCCTATCTGAATAATAATAATAATAATAATATAATAATAATGAAGAAAAAGCATGCCCTCCATATTTTAGTCACGTTGTTCCTATCTGTAGAATTCTTTCCAAATATATTTCTTTATGTTTCTTTCTTATTCAGTTGAGGTGCAGAAGTTTGAATGAATCATTATTACCAATAAACTGCTTTACTTGTGGCAGCAAGAACCCTAAATGCCTAAAAATAATTTCATGTGACTGGCAGGAAGTATGACACTAGATGCCTACAATAAATAACAAATCCTGCCCTCTGGTGGTTGCGGAGATGCATTGAGGAGACATGTAAGGTCATTAACACATATGGGTTTGTGACAGAACAGTAAATGTTGGCCTGCCCATTAAATTTCCTATAACAAATTGGAATTTTATGGCGC